GGACTGACCCACCAGATTGAAAATTGTTCTAGGCTCCGCAACTCAGGTTCAAAACCAGAAGCTTGTTTGAAAACATGAACATCGGAGATTCAGTGGTTCAAGGTAGAATAGGTTGAAGGTCGACTTGGGGATGAACTTCAGCTGCTGCTACGAAGTTGAAGTCAGAAGCACAAGAAAAACCCAGAAAGCTTCCATCTTATCTCTTGAAATCTGACTGTTCGTGTTCGTTGACATTCACCACCGGTGGAGGAAGTAGGCGACGGAGAAAAAGAGAGTTATTGTTGTGCATGAGCCTTCGATGAGGAACAAATTGTTGCTGTATAGCTACAAGTACAAGTCAGAATTGTTGTTGCCTAGAAAAATATCTTTGAGAACCTCTGCACTAATCTACCGAACTCTAGTCGGTACAAGTGCATGAGGTTCCTCGTTTACTTCCCCAAGTCAACTATCAATTAATTTATATAAATTATTTAAATAATCTTCAACGAATAATCATTATGTATTGCATTTTCAAGAAGGGGCCCTGAAACTGGGGAAATGTGAATTCGGCTATTTAACTTAATGGATATTACAAACAACTCTTTGTATGGAAAAATCAATGCGATCATTTTTCCGCAATAAACATTTTGTAATTCCAAGCAGTACTCCAAATTTTAAACTTTCTTATTAAAGTTTCACTGCAACAGGAACAAATATTTTCCATACGTGCTTTTTGTTGTTTAAGGGTAAGATTTTCAGTTTTAGCCCTGTGCTATGAAGAGAACGGATATGCTCCTCACACGCTTCACACTGGCCTCATAGGTAGAGGTGTAAATCGGGTCGGGCTGTTCGGCACAATTTTGAACCGGCCTGGCATGACATAGCACGAAGACCCACGGCTGTGTCAGGCCTAGCATGGAGGTTCGTGTCATGCTGGGCTAAGGGTTTGAGGCCCATGGGCTGGCACGGCATGGCACAACAACACATGTTGTGCCACTCGCGGCCTACGTGTCGACACGACCCAACCCGTGGCACAGCATGAAGCATGGCTCGCCAGACCCGTAACGGGCTACACTCGGCTCGCCCGGGAATATTGACGTTGGGCCCCCTCCCAAAGGG